TAAGCTTGTTCTAAGTAGGTGCTCCAGACCACTGAGCCATCTCACCAGCCCCTTCATTTTGGTTTGACAGGGTCTCACTATAGTTCAGGCTGGCCTTCTCTTCACTGTGTAGTTGAGGCTGGCCTCAAACTCACCTGCCTCAGCTGCCTAAGTACTGGGATTATGGGTCTCTAACAACACACCCAGCAACTTGCTGCTATTTGATGTCATGTTCTGTTTCTTCCTTAAAAAGATTTTATTATAGTATCACATTTTGTGTGTGTGTGTGTATGTGTGTGTGTGTGTGTGTGTGTGTGTGTGTGTGTGTGTGTGATACTGAGGACCAAGCCCAGGATCATCACACTGAGTTGCATTGCAGGCGTTTTTCCCCTTCCCCGTTTTTGTTTCAAGACAGAGTCTTGTTAGGTTGCTAAATTGCCTGGGTGTGTGCCGCCATGCCAGCTTTAGTAAGCATTTTGGACTACTCTTTCTTTGCTGGTCTATTATGTTATTTACCTTGACAAATGTGAGTTTGCAAATGCAAACACTGCTTTTGGTATTTCTAATGGTTATCTCTCCATAATGCTCTATCCATCTTCTCCCACTGAGAATGTTGTGTATGCACGTGGTGACCTTATTCCACACATAGTAGTCTCCGTACCTAGTAAAGAATGTAACGTTGATTAAGAATGACAAAGGTCATACATACATTATGGTTTCTACCAATTAGAACATCTTTTGGGCAAAGCTGCCTTCTCCTTCATCTTTTTCTCATTTTCTGGGAGTTTCTGTGTGGTTATAAACACACGACACTGTTCAGCCACGTTAGGATCTGCCGACGGGCTTACTCCTGGCCAGGTGCTAACACCATGAAGTGGAAGAGGCACCTGCTTCTTGCTCCTCTGAGGCCATCAGAATGTGAGGAGACGAACAGTTAAACAAAAACTTACCATCAACTATGATGAGGGTCATAACAGACAGATGAACAAAACATCAGGGGAATACACAAGGGTGAGTCCCTCATCCTTAGACTGGCCTGGGACATGGGGGGAGTGGCAGGGAAGATGTCCTAGAAAAGACTGGGCTATAGCTCAGCTTGGACGGCATGCAGGAAGGTACCCTGTACTGGGGGAAAACACAAAGCCCCAGGGCCAGTAGAGCACGATGCACTGGGTCTGTGACGCTATCCTGCTAGTCAACCCTGCGATTGAGGCAGGGCTGAGAAGGTGGCAAAGCAGACCTTCAATATCTTCTCAGAGTATGGATTTACTTTGCAGACAATGGGCCATCTAGGAAGGGCTGGAGGTAGAGGTAGGGGGAGGTTTAATTGGAAAAGATTACTCTAAAGATGCTTTCATAATTCAAGTTAAGACCAATAGTGGGAACACTATAATTATTCAGGAAAAGGTTTGACAAGCTGGCACAAATCTAAAGCAAATCCTGGGAGGAAGCTTACAGAATTTGTGGTAAGGAGTGAAACAGCTTCAATCACATTTAAGTTTACAGATCATGCACATTTTCAAATAAAGTGTTCTTTCAAAATTTAAAAAATGCTCCTAAGATCGAATTGGTATAATGTAGGCACTAAAGCATCGGGAACAACTTCCTTTCTCCCTTATGAATTTTCAAATATTGATAGTTTAGCTCCCAGCCCTTACCACCCTTCATCTCCAGTGCATCAGCAAATTTTGCCATTCAAGGAGACAAACACAAAACCAGCTTAATCAAGTCTTTGGGTTCAATGAAAACTTCCAATTAATTTAAAAAGATGTATAGACTCTATCTTATAAATCATTTTATATTTCATAGAACACAACTGTAAGAATATTCCTTTACTTTTGTTTGACAAAATAACTTAGAAATCTTATAAAATTCCAACCAGTATGGTGTTTGGGATAGGACACATATGCAGATTTGAGTGATGAATGGAGGATATGGAGAGAAAAATGGGAAGCTTCGATACATTTGTGAGACATCTCATTTATTTTTGTGGGAGTCCATACTCAAAACTGTGGTGAAGGTAGCAGAAACTTTGGGAATAGAGGGTGCAAGACCCTGGATTCTCCCACAGGCTAACATACCCACTGCTGGTTTAGAAAAGCAGCTAAGAGACCAAAAGGAAGAGGGAGGACAGCCACCTACTTTGGAAGCATGACATTCAGCGTTCCAACAGGCAGGATCTCCATTGACTTCCCCCAGAACTTGTTTTTCCATCTGATATCTAAATGACATGGGAGAGGACAAAGAAATATACTCCAGATCTAATCGCTTGTTCTGAAAAACTACCTTTTGCATTGCATTGACAAAACATTTTTGTAATTACAATCGCTTCTATACTGTGTGTTTGACACAATAAGTTTCTGAAGATGGCCCAAAGTGAAAATATTAACTACGATTTAAAAAATCCACTATTGGTGTTTTTCTATAATCATGTTCTATATTTGTCTTTAATTAACTGGAAGAATCCTGGAATAAATTGTGTGTGTGTATTCACATATACATATAAAGAGACACTAACAGTAATGGTCATATAGTAATAAATGTTAAGTTTTAACTAAATGCTAGAAATAGTTCAGTTTAATAATATATATGCATATATACATATTAGCATATCTATATCCATATCTGTATCTATATCTATATATATCTGAAGCCTAAGATGTATGTAAAAATAATTGCAGCATGGCAATATCACTGATTTATATATATTTTCTGTTCTTATACATGGGTTATATGATTTGGGAGAACAATAAAAAAAAACAAAACCCTAAATGCAGGCATGGAAGATTAATGAGAGTGGGCTTAATCTAACCAGTGTTCTTCTCTCCTGGTTATCAGGAGGGCCCAAGGCCCAGCACCTTATCCCAGGACACCATTCCCTTTCATGTGTGGAGACTCACAGCACCTGCATGTTTATAACGACCACCTAGGACAATTCTGATGACCTGGGGGAGTTGAATGTTGTTGCCATACAATTTCTGATGCTTGGTTATGATCAAGAAGGGGCTTATTACGTTATTTTGCAGGAAGATATAGCTGCAGTGCCCTGTCACTCTGTGCTTTCAGGTGAAGGAAATGTTTAAGTCAAGCGTTGTTCTGTGAGCAACGAGGCAGCCTCCCGAACAGGAAGAAAGTATGCCACGTGGGCAGAGCCATGTAATATCCTTTTCTTTCTTTAATAGAAAAAAACCTTCACAAAATTTCATAACAAAATAATATAGTTAATAGATTGCCTACAGTTTCCCCCCCATATTTTCTATCTGGGGTCAGCTGAATCTGTAGATGCAGAAACCTCAGATATGCTGGAATGACTGGGTGACGTGGCAAAAGATCCTGCAGATTAGACTCTCTCCGCACATGCCAAGACCCAAGAATCCTGCAGACATCTCCTCTGCATTACAGATGCAGAGAACAAGGCACAGTGGGGTACAACGGTGGCGGCTCCACAGGCCTCGCTTCCTAGATGAACAGTGTTACCTCTTGGAGGACACAGTTTCACACTTACACCAGGAAATCTAATTCCTCAAACAGAGCTCCACAGAAATGACCAATATTCTGTGAATTCAAAGGTAGAAACCTAAACCGAGTACAGTGAATCCGGAAGCTAGAGTCTCTTCCCTAGGTACACACATTTGACTTTAAATTACCAGTGAGATACAGACCTTGCCAAAAGACAAAATTCTTTGATTCACAGTGACAAGCAGAAATGGGTGGATGATGGCTCACCTGGTAGGAAAAAAAAGGAAGGTAATGATAACAATATCAAAGTTCCATAGAGGACATAAATATATATCCTTATGATGAAAAAACGAAAGGTCACCCCCAACGAAAACTATAATTAAGCATTTCTGTAAGTACATTATTCTCAAGATACATCAGTCAACCTGGAACTTTGAAGACCTCACCCCTACACAGAGACCTGAGGATACTCAGTGGTAGTGCTAGTGAAAATAAGCTGAGTGAGTTCTCTGTTAATCGGTTCGATAACCCACAGCTGTCAAGAGGGTTTCCTCATTCCCCCAACCTATGCATCAATCTTACTTACTTGCTCTGAGAAAAATCGGAATCCCTTGTCTTCTCTAATGCATTCATAAGTTTCCCCCAGGACCGGGTTGAATGGCTTACTTCCTGCCCTGAAATAGGTGGAGCAATAGCCTGAAACCGCAAAGGCAGCAACTAGAACCTGTTAAAACATCGGAGAAAGGAACACAATATAGGCGAGACCAGGTCTGTTTGTCTCTGTTCCCCTAGGCTCTACGTACCGGTGTTGATGGGTACTGACTTGATGTCACTTGCATTTTTTTTTTTTATTATCTACATAAATCTTCAACAATTCATGGGCAAAGTAAGTTCAAATGAGGCTAAACCACTGCTGTGGGAATGAGCACAGAGAGCAAATGTGCTCCATTCGTGTTTGCCCAGTTTCATGAGTATCATGAAGCTCAAAGGTCTCGAGTCCTGCTTGTAGGCTCCGCTGCTTGCATCATCTTAGCAGGACACACAGGAGCTGCGGTGCTTGTTGGAGGCCCAGATTTAAACTTTGGGTATGAGCAAGAGGTAAAACTTCACTTAAACACATACTTAACAAATTTTTGCAGCTCTTTATCTCAACAGATCATGCAAAATAAAAACCATGGAACACTCAGCTGGAAAATCAGCAAGGGTGAGAGGGGAATCAGTGCTTATGTATACAGTTTTCCAGTCTTATGGAGGAAAGGGCAAGGACCAAGAGGACATTACTTTTCTAGAACCAAGTTCCCGTATAGATGGGCTCTCTTGGCACTCAGGAAAAGCTAAGAAAGTGAAGCTCAGCATGACTTCTACGTCTATGGAGCACGACACTTTTGCAGCCCAACTTTAGCAATACTCTAGACTGTAGCGAAGTCACAAAATGTTACCTTCCAGGACAGAAATCTAGAACTTTTTGTCCCTGTTTGATTTTACAACTGGAGCAGTCCCTGTCTTACCTATGCAGCGAGAATGCCATGCAAAAACCCAAATGTGCCATCACACTGGCTCGTGGCTTATCCCAGGTCCTAAGAGCACAGCCCTGTCGTTTATTACCATGCGCTCGTATGGATCATCCGTCTCTGAAGCTTTGTCCAGGAGCTCGCTGTACTCAATCTCCTCGCAGAGATGCTGCAGAGTGTTGAGCGGCTCGTTGAGCTCTACCGGCATCGAGACTTTGGACAGATCCTTGCCGATGTTGTTCCTCAGGATGTTCCACAGATTAATGTTACTGGTGTCAGGGCAAGGGGCAGGCAGGCACGTGCGCCGCCCGTTTCGGAAGGCGCCTCCCGTGAGCTCCCCATTGAGGACTGGCAGAGGGACAATCACAGAGAAAGAGACTTTGCTTTTTGGATTTCACAACATCGGGGAGGGAAATAACTCTTGATTGTGATAACTTTCTTAAGCCTTCATTGAACTATATCTCTCAAGACCAGACAGAGTAATGTCTACTGGATGCACAAAATGTCAGAGTAAAGCTATTTCAACTAGGTGTTAAATATACTTAATTAAGAAAAGATAAATCAAATAAAAATATATTTAATAAGGATTTAAACTTTGGGTATGAGCAAGAGGTAAAACTTCACTTAAACACATACTTAACAAATTTTTGCAGCTCTTTATCTCAACAGATCATGCAAAATAAAAACCATGGAACACTCAGCTGGAAAATCAGCAAGGGTAAGAGGGGAATCAGTGCTTATGTATATAGAAGTGCTGTAATTTGGCATGCAGACAGAAGAAGATGCTTGAGTGGTGCATACTTTGCCGAGAAATATTGTCTGCAACACTGGTGTTGTCTTCTGAGATATTATCACTCACATCACTGATGTAAGATTCGTCATCTGAGGCCTGAGGAAGGGAAGGAAGAACATCCAAGGTGTCAGAATTCTTGTTATGATTCTTCTCTTGGAAGCTCAGATAATCAAATGATTAAAAATATCAAATTATTATTCCAGGGAGAAGCTGAGGTGCTGGGAGGAAATGCAGTTGGCGCAGGTGCAACTTGAGGCTCTTCCATGGGTCAGGATACAGGGCTGCTACAAAGGAACCATTGTCTGACACAGCAACTTGCTTTTGTTGGGGTGGTGAGCTGGGCAAGGACAACATGAGCAGAAAAGTGTGAGGGCACCAAGAAGGTGTCACTGTGATTTCCTCTGGAGGATGCAGGAGGGGCTATCTGGCGTAAAGACACTTCAGTTGGGTGGTGCAGAACAAAGAGGCATGTCCAGTCCTTACAAGGGAGAGAAGCATGGGACGAGGGAGAAGGAAGACAAAGACCATGAGGGAAACACTATTCTAGGAATTCTGAGGAGGAGAGAGTAGCTAGGACAGTGAGGGGACAAGAAGGGGCAGGTGCCACAGGGATAGGCTTTTTATGCCAACGTAAATGGTTCACATGTGGCCTGACGGGTTATTGTGAATCAGAAGAAATGCAAGGGAATGCTAGCTTTCCCTAGGGAGGCCAGATGTGTACAGCTCTGGGTAAGAAACACTGTCCGGATAGCTTAGAATCAGGTGGCTTCTGTGAGGACTGGGGACGCACCAAGAATACAGCCACTCTGTTCCTGAGAAAAATATGCAAGTCAGTGAAACCAAAACTAACAAGAAAGTAAAATTAAAGACTAAGGTACACACTCAGGGGAGTAAGAAACAGAGCAGACAAGAAAATACAAATAAAAATCTTAAGAGGAAAGGGAAAATCAATGTCTTTACTAGACACAAGAAAACTGTTCATATTTACTTTCTTCAAAGAAGATATCTATTTTTCCTAAACATAAAAACAAAACATTTGTATTGTAAAGATACTAGAAATTACATGGGGTAAACAGATACGTAGGAAATACCAATTATCTCATCACTAAAGGTAACTACGTTTCACATTTGGCTGGATGTTCTCTCCTAATCTCAAATGCCCATATAAACAAATTGATACACTACCGTTGGATGCTGACAAAGGAATCCGTTCGTACACTGCTTGACAGTATTCTGAATGTAATTCCACTACAGGAGCTACAGCTGTTCATATTTACTTGTAAAGGTAGCATATTTCATGGAACATTTGTAACAAGGGATTTAACCAGCACTGAAGTGGCTTCCTACATTTTACTGTTACAGATACTACTTCAGATGAACACCCTTGTAAGTCTGCCTGCTGATTTCATTAAAACTTCTTTCACTGAGTGGACCATTTGTAAGCTTTACCCACATGTTGCCAAGTTGCTCTCCAAAAAGACTGCACTATATTGCTCTCTTTAGTATAACTGGGGAAAACCCATCTCTCCACATCTAAACTGCTGCAAATGTGAACACTGTCCTTTTTTTTTTTTTTTTTTTTTTCCTAGCTGTATACTTAATATGCAAAAAGATCTCTCTTTTTTTATGCATTTGGTGCAGGGTCTCACTACATAACTTGGATTCATAAGATTCTCCTGTTTCAGCCTCACCACACCATGCCTGGTGCTGGTGGCCAGCTCAGCATGCCTGGGGCGGGGCCAGCACGGCATGTGGTACCAAGGATCAAACTCAGGTCCTTGCACTTGCCTAGGCAGGTGCTTGGACTGCTCAGCTATCTCTGTGGCCCACATAAAGATCACTTTGATATTTGAGTATTTCTTTATCTTTCATTCATCCATCTACCCTTTTATCCCCTCCTTCCTCCATCCATCCTTCTCTTCCTTTTTTCTTTTCTTTTTTTTTTTTTTTTATGGCACTGGGAGTTGAACCCAGGGCCTTTGCACAGAGCTAAGTTTTATTTTTGTTTTTATTTTATTTTATTTTTTTATTTTGACACAGTGTCTTGCTAAGTCATCCAGTCTGGGCGCACACTTGTCCTGCTTTGATCTTTTAAAATGCTAGGATACAGGCATTGTGCCACAGGCGTGTGCCACCAGCCGGCTCACATTGTTTCTAACGTCATATACACTGCATTTACCTCTGGTTTGCAATGTATTTTTTAACTTGGTTTGCACCAACTTTTTTTGGTATAACAACTTAAACCTATGTAATAAAAACAATTAGTATGTACCCTTAACATTTCTGAATTTATTGCTGATATTTTTATTTTTTAAAAATTTTTAAATTTTTTATTTTTGATACCAGGGATTGAACACAGGACCTTGCACTTCTCAGGCAGGTGCTTATGCCGCTGAGCCACCTCCCAGCCCATTGCTGATGTTTTTAAAATTAAAGTTGAAATAAGTTCACATATCTAGAGTAACAGAATAACTGCATATATAAATGAGTAATGGAATTTTTCCTTTTGCATACAGTAAGTGCATAAAAACAGCAAACCGGGAAGAAAATCTCTTTTTGATTCCTATTTTCCCACTGCACCTGGCTCTCCCAGGTCTCGTGGACTGCAAAAAAGTTGAACAGTAAGCCATCAGGGTTATCAAAGCTTTTTAGCTTAGCAGAGGAGCAAAAAAGACATGAAACCCTTTATTCGATTTATCAGGAAAAAAAAAAAAGCTAGTAACACTCAAGCATGTTTAGGAGACAATTGCCCTCGAGTCAAATTTGTAGTGTACCCTTGTCTATTGCTTTGAGTATCTGTTAAGAAACACTCAGGCTGGGGCCAGGGAGATAGCTCAGCGGCATAAGCACCTTCCTGGCAAGTGCAAGGTTGAGTTTGATCCCCGGTACCAAAACAGCAACAACAAAAGGAAACATTCATGTTTATTCTACAAAACTACAGTCTATTTTTCTTCAATTTCTGATCTTTATCAAACTAACATATCAAAGAAATGACCGAATGTCACACGTATCATAGAATTCCACAATCACAGTGGGCCCCAAGAAACTCACAGAATGTCATACACACGTGTGGGGGTAACAGCACAGCTGGTGTTGTCCTGGTGTGACTTTCTCATGTCATTCTGCACACAGAACAAGGCTCTTGGTAGTATTAAATTAAAATTTGTCTTCTCCCTGAGGTCAAGAAATCTTGGAGCCAAATATTCTCTTCACAAACTTCAGTACTCAAAAAAATTCAGGAAAATTTTGTTTATCTAAATATGACCAGGAAGGTAGTAGTACAGAAACAAGTTTAAAAGCAGGGCTCAAAGAAAAAGATTACTCTGAAAACAAGGGACCATTTTTTTTTTTGTTTTGTTTTGTTTTTAACAGGTACCAGGGATCTGCTAAGAAAAGTGAAGTGTGCCTGTTAAAAGCAAACAGTCTCTTTTCCCTCTGGTCATAGAAAAGGTGGTGTAAGACAGCTGACGCCCGGATGCCTCTCAGAACTGGGTGTTAGAGGTGAAGCTCGCCCTCCTCTGTTCAGTTAGCAAATGCTTTTGGAGTATCTGCTCTGGGCTCACAGGGTTCCTCCAGTGTTGGAGACACGGGGAAAGTCCCTGTCTCCACTGAATTCTAGTGGAGAGACAAGCAAGTAAAAAAAAAAACCAAAAACAAAAACAAACAACCAAAGTGAAATATGTATTTTGTTAGTGGCAAGTATGAAGGCAAAAATAAGAAAGAAAGAGGGGTATAAAAGGTGAGACGAGAGGAATGATAACTCTTGACTACAGACAGGTCGGCCACTGTGCGCCTCCCCACAGGCGGGAAGGAGCCAAATGCACTCGTCTCTGGGGGAAGCCTGGTAGCCACTGGTACAAGGGCAGTGGGCCAATCGTTGGCAGCTTGAGCACAGGACACGCAACCTGATGTGACCCTGGCTGCTGCTAGGGGGACACACGCACAGTAAGCTCTCCAGGCTGGCTTGTCAAGTGTTAGTGTGAAGACTCAAAGGGTCTTCCAGAGAGACTTCACGAGAAGGAAACTTAGAGGCCAGGGCAGACGAGGCTCACTCACTGACCAAGCTTTGCTGAAGTGGAGGTGTAACTCTGTGAACACTGTAGTGACCGTCACTTGCATCTATCTCCTGACCTACCCCATGAGATTGTTATAAAGGGAAGATGCGTGTAAAAAACTATTTGTGTGTTTTAACAATCTGTAAAAGACGGCACAAGGAATGACTCTGCTGCCTGCTGGAAGGCTCCAGAATAGAGGCAGCACGAGGCTGCACCAAGACAGGACCAGATTATGAATGTTTCTATGGACAGCTAAGGTGCTAGGGTGTCACCCTAAGGACACCGAAGAATGGGGACATGATGAGAAAGGATTGGGAGGTACAAGAAAGGAGGCAGGAAAAATGGTTATGGAGCTTCTGCAGCAGTCCAGGTGGAGAAAAGATGGGTGACGGGATCGGAGTGGTGGAGGTGAGGCCACAGGGCCAGGTGTGGGTGTGAGCATTTCAGAGGACTGAGGGCTGAGTAAGTCCATCGGAGCAGCTAGAAGAGAAAAACTGGGAAGGAGACACCTTCCCAGGTGTGGGATGTGAACGTTCAGCTAGAAGGGCCTGAAACAGTCACGAGCGCTACGGGTGGACTGCTCTTGTTTGGGGTGGGGGTGGTGATGGTGTGGAGAAGGGGTTGGTTGATTCTTTCTTTTCTTTTCTTTTTTTGACATGCAGAATTGGTGGTTCTCTGAGCTCCCAGGTGGCAGCATCTCACAGGTAACTGGTTCTGTGGATCCTGAGCCGACTTCTAAACCTGCTCTGTCCATGAGCTTCAGAGTGGCCTATCTAAGTGCGGGGAAAGGGATCTCCTGAGAGGTCCGGCAGACTCGTGAGGCCACCAAGCAAACACACCATCTCCATGCTGTCCTGTGCCCTGCTCTGTCCTCTAGGGATGCTGCCACTAGCTTCAGTGCTCCCCGAAGGTAGCGCCAACACCTTGCTGGACTTAGGCAAGAGTCTGCCCCTACCCTTTTCACTTCTGTAGCTCTAGGACTTAGTGAAAGTGATACTTGCACACCCAGCTGGAAATAGGAAAATAACTTCGCTCTAGGAGAGGGAGAGGGGGAGAGAGAGGGAGTGAGAGCGAGAGCGAGAGAGAGACAGAGAGTGAGAGGAAGAGAGAGAGAGATAGCGACAGAGAGTGAGAGCAAGAGAGCGACTGAGTGCAAGAGAGAGTGACAGAGAAAGAGTGACAGAGAGAGAGAGAGAGAGGGACAGAGAGAGAGACATGGAGAGAGAGGAGGGAGGGAGAGAGAGAGAAAGAGAGAGAGAGAGAGAGAGAGAGAGAGAGAGAGAGAGCTACAAAGTCATTGGATGGTAGGTCTGAG